TCATAACACAAAAAAAAAAAACAAACATTAGTATTAGTCTTCTCTCAACCTCCAATTCGTCAAATTAAAGACTATCATGACAAAAACTTAAGATGATACCTCTCATCCATTCTCCTTATCCATATCCTAGCTCTAGTCAAACTCAAGACTCTTTGTTTAGTCTCTTTGTCCTATATTAAACAATCAAATCTAATTTATATATATATTTAATTATTAATTGTAAAGGTAATTAATTTTGTATTCGATAATACCGATTGGGATACCAAAGTACCGATTGAGATACCAAAATTATTTAGAGATTGGAATCAGAATTGATTTTAGGGTGTAATTCGGATTTTGATATTTGGTATTAGAATACTGTTACCGTACCGATTTCCACCCCTACTTACCATTGTACTACGAGAGAGCGCCACCTTCAACTCTGCTTTGAGTAATGTTTTTGCAAAGAGGAGAACTGTTTCAAAGGTTAACTAGGTACACTCCAAGTGGTGAACGGACGAATCCAGGAACACCATCAGCAACAATACTCTCTCAACCTTAACTCCGGCAAGCGTGGGATAAAGGGACAAGCTTGATTTCCAATTCTATGTATCTATAATATCCAATTCGATGCAAATAATACCAACTTCATTGCTGAATTTCAGTATAAATTGCGAATAGTGTTCGGTCAATAAGTTGCGAGTAGAGTTCAGTACCTCAAAGTGGTAGTTACTATCCGAAGATTTCAATACCATGTTCATAGTGAGTCGAGACTTAGTTTGAGTGAAACCGTTGTTATGTTAGTGTTGGTTCTTGATGGAGGCCTAAGTGACATTGGTTCTCTAAGGATTTTCTGGTTCTCTAGGATGTTAATATCGGAATCGTAAACTCACAGCACTCGTGAAATGGCGGGACAAATTGAATGGGATCCAGTTTTATCCCTAATATCGATATCGATATCGATCATTGTACCCCTTGGAAAAATACTTGTCTATTTTTTTTAGATTTATTATCCATTTAGTGAACGATTATTTGTCGACTGGGTTCCGACCAATAAAAACCTCAGATGAATTCTTACACTCGTGCAATTAAAGGGGTGAATGAAAATTCAATGTTCAAAAGCTAGCAATGGAAGTTATTGGTTTCTTCAAGGGAGAAGCTCCAAATAAAGAGCTACTGCTGGCTGTTATTACCACATCGTGGAGTCTCAGAATTGGGAGCTTTGAATTACTACATACTAGAAAAAATGCCCGCTGCTACGCCGCGGGGACTTAAGGTGTCATGACATTCACACTACATAACCACAATATAGCAACACCTTAGAAACTTAATAGCATTTTGCATCGCCTCTGAAAAAGACCGTTCACGAATAATTTTCCATGTATGAGGAAAGACATAAAGTTGTCATGGCATTCACACTACATAAGCACAATATAGCAACACATTAGAAACTTAATAGCATTTTGCATGGCCTCTGAAAAAAGGCAGTTCACAACATTCATATTACATGAGCATGATAATTTAGATACTTCAAGAGTACTGATACACATACCAAACATAATATGCAGGTGAAATAAGTTTCCAACCTGCGGCACCATTGGATGCTTCCAAAACACGATTGAGGCCCTTACATGTACCAATCAGATAAGCATATAACAGTGGTTCAAATGCAGCAAGAAATGAAATGCAACTTCTACAGGCAGCACCATTAGGACATCAGAAGTCTGATTCGCAATAGCAACTGGATGCAATGGCGAAGGCGAGTGGGTCCCAGAGGGTGATGATCTCAAAAGCTGATCCCGGAATATCTGTGCGCACAGTAGTTCCAATTTCAGCAGTGAAGACCTTTCCCACGACAGATTGCAACCATGCATTTGCTGCGGCTTCATCAAGTACTGCATATTCTCTAGCAGCTTTTTGCAGCAGTGACGAAGTAGCATCATTGTCGAATATGATTACGTAGCATTTTCTCATACGGTGTGTGTCGAGCAGAGTGGTTTTTTGGCAGTCGTCAGATTAAACAGAGTTGTTGTGTGTGGCAGGCTGTACTGGACATACTTAGGGCGATGTGCGGGCGAGTGACCAATGGCTACAGGGCGGTGTTCATGTGAGAACCTGCATACATAATTGTACATGTGAGTGCACAGGGAAACCTTCAATTGCATGTAGGTAGTTAGCGCTTGTTGTCTCTTTTGTCTAACGGTAGAGAACATTAATTGTGGAAAGCAGAGGTTCACTCACATTTCTCTAAGGCGGCTGAATCGATGAGAGTAACACCCATGGATGATTCGTGTTCCAGCTGTGTTTACCAAGTAAAAATAGTCCGAATCTGTTTGACAGCAGAGGGCGGTTCAGTTTTTATGGTTCAGCTACACATGACAAAGTGTGACAATAATGGAGGCCTGCGACAAAGCATGATCCAGCGATGCATACTTGACCAGTATGGTGTTCCCGCTACAGAATAGGATCAATCACAATGGAGTCATTTTGTAATCTATTATCTACCCACTGATTAGAGAATCTAAACCAGGGGTGATAAACGGTTAGTCGGTTATCGGTTTTCACCGATAACCGAACCGATAAAGTCGGTTAGTGGTTAACCGATAACCGTTACTTCCTTATTAATTTCGGTTTCGGTTAGTAGTATTTTGGTTATTGGTTAACCGCTAACCGATTAATCCGTTAGCGGTTAACCGATAAGAAAACCGATAACCGCCTGCTAGTGTGACTACATGGTTTTTGACTTTGGCTAAGGGAAAAAGTTGTAAGATTCAAAACCAATCAAAGTTGGAATTCCAAACATCCCAATTCTCACCTATTGCAAACAACCCTCCATCAAAAGTCTCAAATGTTTTTAAGAGTTAGAACTCGAAAGTCACCCCTCTCTAAATCCCCTTTGCACTCGATAGAGTGAACCTTATGTTGATGACTATGGGCTAAATGAAGATCTTGGAGTAAATGATGACTATGGGCTAGATGAATTGGAGCGAGATCCTCAGATCATTTAGGTTGATGATTTGGAGATAATGAACTTGTTATTTGTGTCTTGTTGTGATTGTGACTTGTGGTTGAATTGTGGGCATGTAGACTTTTATGTTGTGGAGTTGTGGTTGAATTGTGTGGTTGCTTTAGGCTTTATGTTCAATTGATTTAGATGACTTTATGGTGTGTGATTATAGAGGCTGAAACAAAAGCAGGCCACTCAAAATTGAGGGTGAATCATTTAAAAAGGTGGTTGAAATTCGGTTTTGGGTGGTCGGTTTCTGAACAAAAACTGAGAAAGTGAACCAGAAACTGCGGTTTCGGTTAACCGCAAGGGAAAACCGAAACCGATGTTTGCGGTTTTCGGTTAACCGAAGTCTCTGTCGGTTTCGGTTTCGGTTAGTGATCTTGGAACAATTTTGGTTGCGGTTAACCGATATTTCGGTGCGGTTAAACCGAAACCGCACCGACTAACACCCCTAATCTAAACCATCGTAATGATGCAGTAGTAAAGTTGCCAACATAAATTCAATATTAACAAACAATGAAAGTCCTTGTTTCTATTATGCCAATTGTGCTATTAACTCAAGAAATGACACAGATAGTTAGAAGTGAAAATAAGAACCCACCCACAATCCTCTAGTACTGCAGAGATAGTCGGCATCCTATAAGGACCTGTTTCCTCTTCAGAAACACTCAACAAACGACCAATGACATTTGTAAAAGTAATGGTAAAAATATTAAACAGAATTGTAGGGAACTACTTGTATATAGGGTGGGTGTTCTCGCCTGTGAATTCTGTTCTTGAGTTCAGTCGTGTTCTGAGAGTAGTGAACGTTGTTGGGTAGAATGCACTTTTTGGGAACCATGGAAGGTTTGGATCTTCAGGGAGGTGTTCCAGGTGGTCTGACTCTCTGATTTTAAGATGCAGTGGAGCTGGGCAAGTGCGCAGAGCACGTCTTGGCCATTTTGCGATGACCGACTGCATTCTATAAATGCGTCCACGTACAAAGAAATCTGGAATTTGCCCGGCCAGGCACACATGTGTGTACCCTTCTATGAATTCTTCCTGCAAGGGATTCGGTGGTCAGTGGTGAGCATTTTCATTTTCTATCAGAAGGTTGATAGGGGCCAATGTATTCGGAAACATACATGTTGATCGACCCATAGGTTGTGCACCATCCGATTGCAGGGCTCTATTTCGTAACAATTCTGCATCAAAAAGTGAAGAAGGCGCAGAATGATTGGTTCCTCATTGAGTCGGGATATGAAATCAAAGAAACAATTATGTGAACTGTAATGAATTTACAGAACGACTAACTGAGTTTCATAGTCACTGGAGAGTATATAATCGTGGAGCCTAGTGAACGGACAGACACAGGCAAGCGCAGAGTTACAGGAAACAGAAAGGTTAATGGAAGGAAGTATGAATATCTCCCTTAACTATTAACTTCGAAACAGGTCCACGGAGGTCCCTATATTCCGAGAGAGGATGAGAAGGTCTGAAGCAAATACAGACGGTGGTCATGATTTGAGGTTTAAAGTTCCTGGACACAACATTATATTGGAGTCCACTAAAATGCACAGTTCAGGTCAACTGAGGGCCTAAGGTACTATTGGCAGGAGGGCTAAAAACCGCCAAAACACACACAAAAACCAGTTGTTGCCACTTTCTTCTATTCCTAGGCAGTTTGTGCTAATTATTGGAATTTAAAATATTGGGGTTCTGTTAAGAGCAAACAAATGAAGAACATTGGAAACTTACCACGCCAAATGGAAAGGCTAAGACAGGTGAATGCAATAATGACTGGTGCGGCCCCATCCAGCTCCATGAGGTGAGCCACGTTCAGCTTTTCGGCAAATTCAGACCAAAGCGTGATTGACAGGGTTGCCTTGCTGGAAGAGGTAAAGAAGCATCATTTACTAAAAACAATTCAGAAGAGGTAAAGAAGTCGAGACAGAACCCACCGTTCATCTTCAATGACAACCGTTTGGCAAGTAGGTGATGGGTGTCACCGATACCAGACAGCCGACAATATCTAAGAAGGGTCGCTATGGTCAGCAGGCTCTACAAAAATCAATGTAAACATAAAACTAAGGATGGGAGACGAACCAACTAAACAGGCATGCCTGGAAGCAATGTCTTCGAGGTCCTCGAAACGGCGGAACTCAAAGCTATCACGACAGAAGGTGGGATCATCTTCAGGTGAGGGTGTGAAGGAAGAATTGGAATTAAAGTACAGGAGGCGGTCATTGGAGCAAGGTGCCCAGCGCCTCCTGGATTCACGTTGAGCGAACTGTTTTACGAAGTAGACCTTTCCAACGTGTAAAATCTCTTGCAAATGGCTGGCCAGTTGCTTCGGCGAAAGCCCTTGGACCAGTACACCCTAGGAAAGGAACGGGAAATCAGAATTGGAACTAAACAGTATAACTACCGGTGAGAGGTCAGGTAGGATGGAAGACTCACCAGTTCATCGGTCCACAGTGTCGAGAATTCAAAGAACCCGTCGGGACGGGTCGGATTCCCAGCCTTCCATGTATGGAGAAGGAGCAATTTCAAAGTCGGAGCTTTGGCGGTCCATGTGAGTTTCGAAACGACGACGTGCTTCATAGCGGCAAGCCCGGAGTTTGCGGTTTGGAGGAATCGACCGGTGAGAACAGTTTTCGCGAGAAGTGGGGACGATGCAAAGCGACTGTGGGAGAAGACCGAGATTTGTGGGAGAAAGATGGCGGAAGTGGAGAAAGAGGAAGGCGAGAGGAGATTTAGAGAGAATTCGGAGGGTGCAAATCTTAGGTCGTACCACCAGCAATCGAGAGGGACAAAGGCACAGTCTCACAATTGGCAGGGGTAGCGTGTAGAGGGAAAACGGGGTAGCGTGCTTACCATAAAAGCATGATTCTCTGGTGGAAAGTTGAGGTGAGTTCGGCGCTGAAGAAAGAGAGGACAGCAGGGTGAGCTTCATTTGCGGACTTTATGGCAAGATAGTATGGGTTCCGCGTACGGAATGAGTTGAGTCTGATTCCACCGGGGCCAGGCTGCAGCTAGACGGCCGTTATTGAGTCCGATTGTCGAAGGTGAGATCACGGTGGTGGGCAAACGGCGAAGGAAGCAGACCATTGTGGGGAGATGGTAGAGAGACCCAAAGGGCTTTTTGTAGTAGGCGACAAGAATTGAAACAGTAGTTGGTGGTTTGTGGCAATAAAGAGTAGCCATCTTTTACATATAAGATAATAGGAGGCCCTCGGCAACTACTTTCTTGCCCGTAGAACCTTCACGAAATTAGCTCGTTGTTGCAACCCACAATGTTGGATTTGGGCTTGGTAATATACTGGATCGGTACCATTGTGTATAGGGTTGTTAATGAGTCAAGCCGAGCTTTGCCATAGTTCGGGCTCGGCTCGTTAATATATTTTTAGGCTCGAGCTCGACTCGTGTTCGTCACGAGCTTTAGAGATGGCAAAAATATCCGTAATCATGGATATCCGCCCGAATCCGGCCTAATCGGGTAGGGTAAAATCCGAACCCGAAGGACATTTGGGACATTCCGTCTCTCGTTAGCATGGGTTTCTCACTATCCAACCCGAATCCGTCCGATTATACACATACATATGTATTTTGTCTAGAAATAATCATTATTTTCTCTAACATATTTTATATTTAGCATATAAATAAAACATTTTCATGAAATTGTGTTGTTTTAATTAATTTTCTTCATTCTAGTGAATTATTGTCATACTTTTCCTTACGTAATGTGAGAATATGTGTGAATGTTAACATACTGGTTAGAATTATGAAGAGAAATCATTACCCATGGATAACCGTGGATACCCGAAACCCGAACGGGTATGGGCATGGTTTTAATTTTCTACCCGTTTCACATGTGGGTATGGGTATGAGTAAAACCCGAACTACTTTGGGTAGGGTAACGGATATGCGCTATTCGTCCCCGACCCGACCCATTGCCATCCCTAACGAGCTTTAATATGCAAGCACGAGCTCGGCTCGTTTATGAAAATGAAAGCTCGAGCTCGACTCGAGCTCGGCTCGTCAAATAAGCTTAACGAGCCCAAATTCGAGTTCAGCTCATAAAATGTTCATGGTAGCTCAAAATTGACCTAGAACTGCGCACAAAATTACATTCTAACAAGTCTAGCAAAGTAAAACACAATATTTATCCCAATTTCAATACATAAAATCCATGAATTCTAATCCTTTTTTTATGTCAAACCATTAAATGAGCTTGTTCGCGAGCTTTCGAGCTGAACATGGTATGGCTCGAGTTCGGCTCGTTTAGTTAACGAGCTTGTTCGCGAGCCGGCTCGATTAAAACGAATAGAGTGTCGAGCGAGTTTTTCTCGAGTCGCACACCGAGCCGTTCATGAGCGGTTTGGTTCATTAACAGCCCTAATTATGTAGCGTCACCTTACGTCACGTTGTGATGCTTTGCGATGGGTAGGGTCCCGTGTATTACCTATCTCAGCTCTTAATTTTATTTCAACTAGTTGTCACTCACCACCGAGTGGAGTGGAGTGGAAATTATTGTTCGTGAACTAGTTCGATTAGTTAACTTGTTGAGTTCGACTTATGACCTATCTCATTTTGAGCTCATGAAATGTCTCAACCGTGTAACTAGCGAGCCAACTTGAATACAACTTATGAATTGGTTTGTTAATGATGCATATGTTTGTTAAATTGAACATGTTCATTCACCAATACGCAAGTATTAACCTCTTCTGCCCAAGGACCGGGCTTCGTACTAGTTCAAATTAATTATTTGGAAGTGCTCTCTTTCTCTCCATAAAACATACTAATAAGAGAGACCATTTCCCTAGCAACTCAGCAAATTTGGTCAAAATTGAGGACACATATATATTCTGGATAGAGTGGAACCCTTAGTAACGATAAAATAATGAATGAAAGTTGATGCCCAAAATCATACCGAGTGAAATTTGTTTTCTAAAATGTCCGTGAACAATTTTATTATTGTGCTCACAAGGATGCAAGGCGGAGTTCCCAGAGCGCGATTCGACAACGGGCTGCCGTGTGAGCACCATAGTCGGGTTGGTCCATAAACATCAAGAGTAACACGCGCTCTATCTTATTGTCTATCTTATTGAAGACCAATAGACAAAATCAAACGAGTTTATCTCTAATATCAATATCGATTATTGTACCATCGAAAAAGCATTTATCTTATTGTCTATCTTATTGAAATTTACAATCCATTAAGAGAAGAACTGTTTGCTGACCAGGTTCCGACCGACGAAAACCTCAAATAAAAAGTTCGTGGTCATGCGCAAAAACACAGCCCAGAGGCAAATGAAAACTTTGGAAGTACAAGGTTTAGTTGAGAAGTTGGTTTATGGGATGGAAAAATCCAAATAACTAGCACTTAGGAAGCTACTGTTATACCACATCGTCCATTTGTGTTGATAGCCTTTCTAAGTCTACATATAAATAATAGGAGATCCTTCACATTCAAACAATAGGTGGGCCTGAAGTTGCATTGGGCCTGGATCCCTTGTTCTCTCAAATGTGAGCTGGGTTTGGTTTTATCCCACAGGTGAGAACGTCCGCTAAAAAACCCCATGTGGTTTTTATTTAGCGGACCCTCTACCCGTCGGATATAACTAGGCTTGGCTCAAATTCCATTTTTAAAATTCATAAAGATTAAAACATTTGCTTAAAAGCTCAAAGGTAAATATATAATTTATTAGCCAAATTAAACAAGTTAAATTTTGTTAAAAAAACAATTTATTTATTAGCCAAATTGTAACTTTTCATCCAGTCAATAGTTAATTGACTATGAAGTGGAAAGTTCTTAATGACGCCGCAAGAAAGTCAAGCATTGAATGTGACATAGGTAATTATTAATTTTAATTAAATAATAATTATTTCTGAAACAAAATAAACAAAATCAAACCAAAATTAACTATCTCGTCACTCCTCCTATCCCTCTTCCCCTCCTTCAATCAACTCAATAACCCAAAACAATCCAGCCGTCGCCCTCTGCTCACACCCACATCGATTCAACGATGTGCTCAGCGGCGAACCGAAGTAGAGCGACTGCGATGGTGCTGCCATGACGACCGTCTGCTCACACCCACATCGATTCACTTATTCACATTTCTGAGTTTCCTCCCATTGGCCAGATTTGGAAAGCGCATGCAACGATTGTTGTTGGGGATTAATTAGTTGGCGAGAAATTGTTGTTGGGGATTAATTGAATCATTAGGATTTAGTGTGGACAAGAGAGAGAGTGATGCATGGGGAGGGAGGGAATGCAATCTGCGGTTGTCTCATGTATTTATTTTGCTTTTGTGATTAAAATAAATATAATAAAATTAAAATAAATAAATATGTATGTGGCATAGTCAAATAGTTGACTGTTTTGCCATGTCATCAATGAGTATGCCACATCAGAGTCAACAAACGTTGACCGGATGAAAAGTTAGCAGTTTGGCTATTAAATTGTTTTCGAAATGGTTTGACTATTATTTCGTTTTTTTTTTAGAATATTATTTTGTTTTTTAATAAAAGGTTTGGCTATTAAATTTTATTTACCCAAAGTAAAATGCAGTAGTCAAAAACGGCTTTCCCAATCCCCATGATTATGGTGAGAATTATCTAGCGATTCCCAACGACCAACCAGTTGGGAATCTCGATAGAAACATATATTTGTTTTTACTACTATCCTTATAATCATAATATATTGTTTTTTTTACTACTTTCCTTACAATAAGACTCACTAATATATATAACGTGATAGATTTTGAAGGCTCTTTGTAGTATGTAGTGCGACACATTACATATCATCATAATGTTGATACTCAATGACTTTCTGCTCTTCTCGAGCTGGTAGAGCAAAATACTTAACAATGACGAAATAATTAATAAAAAGATGTTATTGTGCTCATAAGAATGCAATGCGGAGTTAGTTGGTTGTGCAACATGTGAGTACCATAATGGGGTTAGTCCATGAACATCAACAAAAATACAGTGCTCAATAAAAAGTGATGATAAATGCAACGAGAATCTGATTACTAATCAAGTTTCACCAGGTAATTAACCACAGCTCCCCACATCGAATCCATCAACATTGGTTCCCCAGAGGTGGAAGTGGCTTCGTATGAGTATGACCGATGATGCTCTGTCAAACAATGACCGATTTAAATCGTTTGAGATCTCTAATTTTAGGAATCATGAAACAAAAGCTGAGAATGACAAGAACACAAACCTACAAGGGAATCGACATCAAGTGCTTTTCCGTATTACCGTTTAGTGCCTCTACGGAAATCAAATCATCATTCCATCCATGTACACTATAATCATTTACTACAAGCCATCTGATTGCAAACATCATTAACACAATCTGGAGCTTCTTTCCGCCAGCAAGACAAAGAAACAAGGCTGAATAGGATCCTACAATTCCGTACATCTCTACTAGTCATTATAAAGATCGAGGAAAGAATGTGATATCATAGCTTTTCGACCCCTCGGTTTTGAGTGAAAACCCAACCATGCAATTATAATGATTCTTCATGAATCATGGTTCTAGAAGTTGGTTCTATGGGATGGGGAAAAACCCAAATATCTAGCACCTAAGAATCTACTGCTATACCACATCGTCCAATTTTGTGGTGGAAGCCTTTGTAGAGCTATATACTGTATATAGGAGATCCTCCCAGTTTACTGCCATCTTCAAGATAGGCCTAAGAATCTGTTTTAGGCCTGCAACATTAGTTTTCACATTTTGCAGAGATCTTAGTCGTGTTTGGTTTTATCTGGCGGGACAGACGCCTGTTCCGCTCAAAGCCAATCTGGTTGTCTGAAGAGCGTCGGCTGACAGGCCAGGCTTGGCTCAAATTCTATTTAGTCATGTTTCTGTTAGAGAGTGGTATAAGATCCAGTGGAACCTTCTCCCAACAACTCGAGTTATTGGGACCAACTGGTTTATGACATGGTATCAGAGCCTGGTTTGACCAAGTGGTCGTGTGTTCGAATCTCCACGACCCCCAATATTAACAGTTGATTAAAGCACATGGTATGGTGGGCCTGTGCAAACTTCAAGCCCATGAGTTGGCTTTCGTTTGAGGGGGCGTGTTAGAGAGTGGTATAAGATCCAGCAGAACCTTCTCCCAACAACTCGAGTTATTGGGACCAACTGGTTTATGACAGTTTCGTCACTCTCCGTCCAACTCTGTTAATTGTTGCTTATGCGGCGGTCAACTCTAAACGTTGACCGTTAAATGTGTGACGTGACAACTTAAAATAGTAAAATTAATAAAATTAATTTTTTAAAAAATTTCCATCTCATATCTACCGGGTTAATGCCACATTTGGTCATTGTGATTACTAAATTGTGTCATGTTTAGTCACTAGAAAAAGTTAATATCAAATTTGGTCACTCTAATTACTAAAACAGGTCATATTTAGTCACTCTCCGTTAGTCTCCGTCCAACTCCGTTAATGGAGTCCGTTATGTGCCGACGTGACTAACGGGAGCGCCTAATCAGCGTCATTTTGACCCAAAATAGTCAAACCCGACCCGCCACATCACCGAACCCGCCATGTCATACACCCAACCCAAACTATTAAGCCAACCTAACCAAAAACGAAACCCTAACCCACCTAATCTAAAATCCAAATTGATAAACAGCTACTGCTGCTGTACCACATCGTGGAGTCTCAGGCCTGGGAGCTTTGAATTACTACATATAGGAGGACCCTCCACTCTTTCTACTTGCTGCCAATTCAGTTTCCACAGAAGTATGAAGTTCGTTGTCTCAGCCCATATTGGATTTGGGCTTGCTAAACATGTGAGTTGGGCTTGGTATTATCTGGCCTTCTTCCTCCATCCCGTCGTTATTATTTTTGAAGCTATACAACTTGGTCCGAGTTAGACGTCGTGTGAAAAAGCCTTGAAAAGTTGTATAATGGAGGAGGCCGCGCATAGTTTTTGGAATCTCTCCGATTCTTGTTACTACTAAGGTGAAAGATGGTGCCAAGATTGAAATGATAATTGCATAAAGTCGCGATATTAGGTTCCCCATCTATTGAAGTCTTCCTGGATTAGGCGATTCTTTCCTGAATTTGCCAATTATGTGGTGAAGTAATGTGGTTGTAAGAAAGCACGCCGCTTCTAATTATGATTCACATAATTTCTAAATTCTTTTTGTGTTGCAAACATGGTTAAGATAAATGTTCCTGCAAAGAGAGAACTGTTTCAAAGGTTTCCTCATAATGATTTGAATCGGTACCTGACCACACGACCATTCATTGCCATGTTCGCAGTCTGTCCAGGCTCGGGTTTCAGTGACAACGATGATAATACGTTATTGTTTGCGTATAGTGAATAGTGTTCATAGTGAGTCGATACTTAGCTTGAGTGAGACTGTTGTTATGTTAGTGTTGGTTCTTGACGGTGGCCTAATTAGTGATCACAACTCCCTGCATCGAATCCATCATCATCGGCTCTTGAGAGGTGGAAGTGGCTTCGTATGAGTATGATCGATGGTTGCTCTGTCAAACAACGACCGATTTTAAATCGTTTGAGATCTCTGATTTTAGGAATCATGACACAGAAGATGACAATGATAATAAGAACATATGGTGGGACGAACTGCTACAAGGTTCGCCACAAGGGAAAAGCAGATTCTGTTTAAGCCTCTGTCCCTTGAGGAAGTACGAGAAGATCGCCGACAAATGGAGGCAAAATCGGCGACGCTCCAAGGGAAAATCCAGCAACAATCACGACGAAAACTCTGGTGACGCGACTCTCTTGACTCGTCGTTTTATGTTGACAGGATTTAAGAAGGCACGAAAGCCTCGTCAACGACGACCCTACAAATCACCGTCATAACAGGACATGAGAGAAGGTGAATTGGTCGGAACAATTGGGGAAGAGTCGAAACAAACAAGGTGCCTTTGAGCACCATAAGTGGGTTGGGTTTTGGGAGTTGGTTTGATGAGAGGGAAGACTACAAATAAGATAAACCCTATTTGAATAGTCGGCTCCCTAAGATCTGCTGCTATACCACATCGGTAAGTTTTGTTATTGGGAACTTGGAAAAGCTATATATAAGTGCCATACCCAAGTCTTCATTTTCCAACTTGTGACCTTGTATCACCTTATTAATTTCCTACGTTGTGCTGGATTTGGTATTATCGGCTAGCTAAGAATATCTTGTGTACATTTCGTTTGGATAAACAAGATATTTTGAGCTTTCCGATACAACCAATTCTTAGTGTTAATTTTATTTCAATAATTCAGTTGTTAATTTTATTTCAATAATTCAGTTGTTAGGAAATAAATAGCACGTAATTTTTAGCAGTAATTTTGTTTTTAGCGTGAAATAAGTGAAATAAATAACACGTAATTCTGTTTTTTAGCGTGAAATAAATAACACGTAATTCTTATTCTTAGCAGTAATTTTATTTCAATAATTCAGTTCCACAATCAGTTAGATGGAAGCTAAGTTTGATGTTTTTTAGCGTGAAATAAATAGCACGTCATTGTACATTTTTTTAGCGTGAAATAAATAGCACGTCATGGTTTTTACTACTATCCTTATAATCAGAATTTAGGGTTTTGTACTACTTTCCTTACAATAAGAATTACTAATATATAACGTGATAGATTTTGAAGGCTCTGTGTAGTCTGTAGTGTGACACACTACATATCATCATAATGTTGATTCTCAATGACTTTATGATCTTTTGGATTTGGTAGAGCGGAATACTTCACAACGACGAAAGAACTGATGAAAATTGATGCCCATAATTGCAACAAGTAAAATCTGGTTTCTAACCATTTTGCTATTGTGCTCATAAGAAAGCAACGTGGAGTGCACATCGCGTGATTCGATGGCTGTGCAACCTGTGAGTATCATAATGGGGTTGGTTCATGAATATCAACAAAAATACATGCTCACAAGCTCTTTGTTTGGGTGAAATTAAGCAATGAGAGGAAGTAGTCCAAAGTTGAATGAGAAAGTAGATTATCTCTAATATCGATATCGATCATTCTAATACCAAAGGCAACTTAATGCCTGTGGTGTGTCGGGCTTTGGAAGTGCCCCCAGGGCTGGCGGCGGTGCAATTGGAGTGCCCATACTCCAGTTTGTTAAACTTGCAACGCCACTAATCATGGGTTATTGCCAAATGCTCTGCTTTTCTAATTTAGTATGAAATATCGTATTTAAATGATTCAAAAAGTAGAAATCTCATAATGACTTCCATGAAAGTGCTCTCCCTCTTCTCTCGATTAGTAAATGGAAGCAGGTAAGATTCAATATGATCTGTTCAGTACTCCAAACCCTACCCTGCAATCTGCTGCTCTACTTCTGTTCTTCGTATACAGCCTTGTTTCGAGAATAATTCAAAGGACTACCACATAAAACAATTCAAAGCAACACCTCAATTGAAGTCTCCTTCTGAATCTCCCAACCACTAGTTCTTCTAAACAACAGACTCATAGTTAAGAGGACCGATTTCCCGAAGTGCACTGCACACATCATCTTCCCCTGGCAGCAGCAGTGTACAAGCGAGCGAGCGAGCGAGCCACTTTTTAATCAGTCACGCTCACTAATGGCAGTCAAGTGTTCATCTATTTCCTCGGTAGACAAAACCCTGAATACTGGATTCTCTGCTCTCACCACTCCTACCTGGCCAATGCAACACAGGTTAGAAAAAAAATGGAGCTGCTGCTATGTAAAGACTTTTACCCCCATGACAAAATCATATCACCAAAGCAACTTGACATAGGGTTACAAATGCTCAAAGAATTTGTCAGACATTTAAAATATGTCAAAAGGAGCTCCATACCTCAATCTCAGTGGCCTTAAAGTCCTCTTGCAGAACAGATTGCAGAGCAGAAATGGCAGTCTGAGAACAACAGCAGGCAGTGATGATATCAGGGGCGTACAATAAAAGGCACAGGGCAGTGTGCCAGTATCACAGAAGACATTGGACAAAAAAAAAAAAAAAAGTGAAAACAATACAAGTAACAGCAAGCAAAAGGAAGCTCTTTATGGACTCTTCTCCTCGAAGAATACGAGGACAAACCTGCACTGTTTCATCGTAGGATAATGCAGGATCATTTTTCATTTTCTTCTCCAGAAAATTGATAGCCTCTTGTTCTTTCAATCCAGCACTTGTGGCCTGAAACATATCGTCAATTTAAGGCCACTAAGTAAAATGTAATCATCAAAGCATGGAGCTTCCAATAAATCACAATAACAAATGTTAGTGATTTTCTTTTCACCTATGACCCAATTTCATTCTTAATGAATCTTAATTGCATCAGCTTTAGTTTACGCATTAATGTATGATGATGTTTGCTGCACGTTGTGGACCTTGGATGGGTTTATGTTTTAGATCTACCCCATAATGAAAAGGTTCAACTTCTTGGGGTTACATAACTTATAATCGAGTGAACATTAATACATACAACAAGTTAAGGACAAAAGAAACTGAAATGAAAGGTTACCTTGTGTCCGTAAAAGTGCCCAGCTGGGTCACATTTATAAAGTTGAGCCCCCTTCTCATCATCAATGCCCAAAACCATAGCAACTTCATACAAAGAGAGAGAGGGAGAGAGAAAGGGGTAAGATAAAGTGCTAACAGACAATTAAGAAGCACATTATCTGTAGGTGGACAAAACATCAATCCAACCATCTTCAGTACCACATGAAACTCCAATAACTGAAGCTTCTATCTCTTTAACACATGCATAGATACTCAAAAGAGCAAGTGGCAATGATCATCATACCTACTCCAAGCGGCCTCATGTAGGCATGTTGTGTATAAACCTGTGACTTATCTGCTATCCTGTGGATGTAAAAAAGGTAAAAAGACAACATGAGACAAAAGTAACAGGAACAAAAGGAAGAAAAAGTAGAAGTCCCCTATCCTAGGAGGACCAAGAAAAACGGTTCAGGGGTTAAACACAATGGAGAGAATGCCATCTGCAATGCATAGGAAGCTAAACGCAGTAGTAGGCAAAGGATACAAGCTAGTTTGAATGGCAATGCTAATGAACCCTCATCTGGAGTTGAATTACAGAAAACACACATTACCGAAGTATTGACTGGGAAAGCTATTAAAGTTATAGAGAAGAATGCGAAGTCCCTTACCATTTTGACAATACATCTACTGGCATTTCATAGCCATATCTGAACCGGAACTCAGCAGCTTCATTTCTGGCTTGTTGGACCAATGTCCTTGCATCAGCTGGAAATTTTTAGGAAGCCCTCATCAATTTCAGACTTACAAATATTGTATGACATAAGGAAGGAGAACTAAGTAAAATGACCTCTTTGGCAATCCTAAGCAACAATGCATGTACATGGCCCGAATCCAAATTTCTAAGAATCTGAATCTGTTACTTTTAGGCTAACTTCAGTACCATGCACTGTTGGATCAGGACCCAACCTTGTAAATGGTGTTAACTAGTACATGAATGATGAATCAAAATTTCACTAATAAAACGCACAACAGCACAGATGAAGAGCTGTTGGATCGTTTCAGAAGTTAAGTCAACTTCACAAATTAAAAGCTCCATTTCTCTAGGGAAGAAGGGTACTTATCAAACAGAGCTAATTATTACATATAGTAGCCAATAACACCAAAAGGATTATAGCAACAAGTAACCTTCATGACAGAATTAAGCAATTTCTACGGATAATTATTTCAAGCACTTGAACTCAGGGCCTATATATAGCTCTTGGCACACAGTTCACAAACAAAATCTAAAAAACCCACAAATAGTTCTACTATCTCCATTCAAAGTAAACAGAAACTTATCCAACCAGTTCTTGACTTAGAAATCATCAGTCATTCATATATTGATAAATAAACAAGGCACCTCTAATGCTCTAACACATTTCAGTCATATATGCTGAAAAGCAAACCTACTCAATGAATTACCAAAGGAAAGATCAATGTAGAACATTGAATAAGAGGAAATCAAACCTGTCATCCCCGTAGCCAGCAATCCAAGGTACTTGGTGATGGGGAAAAGGTGGGTGACGCTAGTCTGATCCAGAAGCTTGTCCTGTTCATTTGGGGTAGCAATACATTACCTTGGGCAAAACTGGAACCCTAAAAACAAAAAAGAGAAATCTAGCAAACTCGCAGCGAGAAATCTGAATCAAGTGACTCACCGGAACCTTCTTCTGGGTGACAACGCAAACGGAGTCCTTGCCGCGGACGCCGATCGAGGTAACAGCAGCCGCCTTCACCGCCTTGAAAGCGTATTCTACAACAAAGCAAGGGAAGCAAAGCATTAAAATTGGCAATGCTTGTTGCTTACCGTCTGTTTTCCCGATGTATACAGAAGATGAGAAGCAGACGAATTTTTCACGGGAGACAAAGGAGCGAGGAGAAGTGTGAATCGAGACATTACCGACTTGGAAGAGGCGACCTTCCGGCGAGAAGATCGTGATGTGGCGATCGTAGCCGCCTCCGCTTCCTCTGCTCATTATGAGAGTAACAGTCGGGGTCGGAGAAGGGTTGATTGATTCCGGCGAGTTGAGGGAGAGAAAGAGACTGAATTAAGAAGAGAACGGAAGGAATTGAGGAAGAAGAGGATTTGAAGAAGAAAGATTGGGGAAGAAGAAAGGGAAGATACTACGAGAGTGGAGCAGAGGGAAATAAATAGATTTGGGGAAAAGTAAGCGTCAATTACTAACTAGTCCCTACGAAATAAGTCCATAACCATTTAGTCCATTTAGTTGAGATTGTACAATCCCTCATTTTTGTTGATTGTTGGTGGGACCCACACAAAACAATAAATGCATTGTTTTGCAACTTGACACTTTCAAACGTTGTATTGTGGACAATACATGTATTTAACAAATACAATGCTAACAATCGCAACTTCCAAACGACCCTACAATTATTTACTTCCTAGTTCCTATCGATATTGTGAGAAATATTTGGGATTTTCTGCTGGTTTCAATCTCGAAGTTAGACGACTTGTAGCATCAACGGATTTTAATTTTTGTATCGACAAAGGTGACTTGCTGCACAAGAGATTTGGATTTCAGATTTCCCGTTCATCTGGGGCGAAGTTGTCGCTGAGTAATGCGAAAAAACCCCTCGATTGTGATATGACAATCATATCGGAGTAGGGTATATTGTACTAAAATCGTGATTGAAGTGTGGTTCCACCATTACAATTGCTTGCCGTTTGAGGTTCGGTATTCGATATTTCCCGTCCGATCCGCTGATATGGTACGATTTCTAAAACATGGCTGTTCAACTCGTCTAGGACCAACCAAGTGTACGAAATATGACCAACCAAAAGTGGTAGTAAATTCGTTGGTGGATTCGAACCGGGTCACGATGGCAAAATGCGGCAAATCCATTTAAATGTCTTGAGTTGAAACTAAGACGTTCTGGTTTATTGCAAATTGGTCTTTAAAGTTTGTATTTTGAGTAAAATAAAGTCCAACACTCGTGGACTAGGGTTAGCAGCAACAAAGTCAGTAGCTTTGTTGTCAAGTTAGTCGTCTTAGCTATCTTTCAGGATAATGGAGGCTGAAGTTGTGTACTTGTTGTGTTTTTTGGTTCATCGAATGCAATTGTCAGTTTATACCAAACAAATAGGTTTGAGTTCACAGAATCTAGATTTTCTGAGTTCATTGTCTCACTGGAAGAGTAATCAAACCCCATTCACTAGAAATCACTGACCAACAGTAAGAAGTTGTGGCAGGTTTAATAAGAAGCATGCAGATCTAGTCTTGGTTTCGATCTGCACATTTCAATACTGTTGCAACTTGTTAACATGTATACAAAACATGGTTCATAAAACAGCACAGAAGATTCGCCGTTCGTAATGCTCATTCGAGCCATTTTGCACGGGCTGATGTTATAAGCTTTGCAGAGCTTGGTATTTGGATCTACAGCTAGAAACTCAATGGAAAATGTTGAAACAAACAGATTATGATACAATTTACACAAATTTAGAAAGATGGATACACAACAGTTTTCCAGCTGATGAACGACTGAAGCATATTTGCCTTTTGGCTTCAACACAACACAACAAATACAATGGAAAACAAGAGCAGCCATGGTGCCCTCATTGGTTTACTTTTTTCTTTTTCTTTTCTACATACAAAGAAATCATCAACATTATTACTTTACAGCTTTTCAGTTGAAGAGTTTGATACGCGTCGTTATAGGTTGCCGGCACAAAGGGCAATTCGTAACCAAGCCTCCGCATTCCTGGCAGGTCTGCATTCCAAAGATAAAAAGAGGAAACATAAGTAAGTTATGAATTGGCACTCACTATTACGAGATCTAATGCAATTGCCTAGAAACAAGCATGCAGATCTAACACAGACGAATGCATACAAGATTTATAGCAGTTCAAATGTACACATTTCGATGTCATTATTTGCAGAAGCTCTTCAATGAGAAATAACCAGTTTTGTATTCTTGTAATGCAGGCAAGGGAGTTCTTGTCACCCTTATTCAAACTCGGGGTGATATGAAGGTTGAGGTCTGAAGCAACGAAGGTAAGTGTTGGTAAAAATGGAAAATAAGTCTATGTACTTTTGATGGATTTTACTAATGGATTAAAGTCTGCCTGTGCTACATCTCAGACTTGATGAATAAAACTACAAGTGGAACTTTACTTACTGTGTGACCGCATCCGAAGGCCATGTTCTTTGGGTTCGTCCAGCAAATGGGGCAGACCTTGAAGAATAGGGGGAAAAAAACAAGTGTTACTATCCAGAGGGATAATTAAATAAGACCCCTTTATCAGAAAAAAGAAAAAAACATTCCACGAAGCAGCATAAGCATACCGGTTCAACTGGAGCTGCTGTTGCTCCTGTTGTTGCAGAATTGATCAAAGGCGGAATTGATCTAATTGCATCATCATGATCAATCACTGCCTTGGGAGGTGGAAGAGGCTTTGTAAGCGGATGACCCGTTGTTGATCTAGTAGATAATGAATGAGTTGAACCTTTTCAGATCTCAAATTCTAGGAACTACGAAGTGAAATATTATGTTGAGGTCGTCAACCTACCCAGAAACATCAAGGCTTTGTGTGGCTCTGTATTGGAGAGGGATTTCCATGAGGGCAGCAAGAGCAAAGTCGGCTTCCTTTTTTGATGTATCCTTCTTCTCGGACATGATTTTTGTGAAGTTGACAAACTAGAGGAAGCAAAAAGCAGAAGTTTGTTGGCCTTTGTTGGGATTCAAAGTAACAGTAGTGATACTGTGATAGTAACTAAACTAAATGCCAAACGTTTAGTGAACTATGGAGAAATGGTCAGTAAAATAGCATCACAAGATACTAAGCAAACTAAGGGATGTATATTCGAGAAAGTACGTACCTGGAAGTTGTCAAATGCTCTATGTGGAATGTTATCATCAAACTGTTTCATCGCATCCCATGGCCCATCCCCGACTCCAACTAAAACAATTGAGAGAGGATAATAGCTGTTGCATGGAAAACCAGTAAGAGCCACATAGTTAAAAGTTAAAACTCACAGTTGCACCTTGAAACATTCATTCGGTATCGAACAGTCCATTACCTGGCAGCAACTATGGAATTCAAGGTTGCTTGTTCTTGAGGACTACAACTCCCACGTGGAATACCAGGATTCCTGGTAACCTGTATACATAGGTTTGTGTTTTCAGCATCAGATGGCTTGTGAGAAGGAAGACAGTGCCACAAATCATAAACAAAAAGAAAGTCCAGAGATTCATTTTTGCATGTCAATCCCTACATTCTAGTTCTAGATAGAAAATCTTTAAGGTCAATTGTCCAATGCCATTCAAATTTATCTGACATTAAGCTCCATTATTTGTTAGTTTGAAGAGAACAAGCATATTAGATATGCGGCAGTACTTGAGATATGACAGCTTTCATACGAAGATACAGCTGAAAAAAAACTCTGATGTTAGGAACATGAAAACAAATGAAATACCTGCCCATCTGCAATAATAACAAGGACGTGATATTGACCATTACTTTTCTCTACAATGTCAATTGCAGCATCAATGATTGGTGCAAATGAAGTTGGACCTGGAGATATCAGAATGAAAAAAGATCATTGGTATGTTGCTGAACAAAATCTGGCTTTCAATTCAAACACTATTCAACATATAGAGAGAGATTAAAGAACCTGACAACTGTAAGTGTGGAATGATTTCTCTGTATCGAGCAAGTGCCTCTTCGAAACCACGACAAGGGCGGTGATCGGGATAAAAGCTGAACACGTACTCATCACGTGTTGATACTATTAAGTTCGGGGAAGGCACAGGAAAGAAAATAAGGAAGATATCAGATCCAAGAATTCACTTACTGTTAAACAACAGTAAGGGAATTTGCACAAGGAGACTAACCATCACCAAATCCAAAACAAGGTATCAAATTATCTTCATCGAAAGGAGACAAAGTACGCCCGATGATTGAGATCGCTTGTTCATAAGGATTCGTCACACTACCAACTGCGTGGAGACTTTTGCGGTGAAATGAATACCTGCCTATACACATTTGAAATGAACTTTTACCCTATGTACTGACTTTAGAAAGTCTAGACATCGTATTAATTCCTGAGAAGGAGAATCACTACCTACCTGACCATTCATTACTCTTTGTGAAGTCAACACCAAGGATCAAGTTCGATGACTCAAGACCAGCTTCTCTCAATGCAGAAATGACCTGAAACAGGTAAAGCCACCTGAGTACCTCAAGAGTCTGCATAGATGTTCATGCAACATAATACATTTTTCTACAGCAAGATCACACTTATGGAAAGTATTTTGTAAGTACCTGGTTTAGAGAGTTGAAATTGTCAGCTATGAACTTCGGCCGCTGCAAATTTCTGAAGCTATTACGCTCCATCTGACCATCTACCTTCCTGCACGACAAATCAATATGTCACCATTGATTACCAGTTCCTATGAATGCAGAATGCTACCATTCACCTAGCCCCATCAGACCCTTCTAACACCAAATTCTAAGCAGAACTGAACTCCACAACTTACCTACCAAATAAAGATATTCCCTCCCAAAACCCAACTTAATTCCATAGTAAATAACTAAATATAGCTCAGAGTAAAAGCTGTGATGGGTAATTGTCCATCTAAAGAACAGGTTTAGAGAAACAGAAGAATTCAGAAGACCAAATTTACATCCTTTCATTCATTCCAAGCCATAAGCGACAAAATTGTTTCATGTCTGCAAACCCAATCGATTGTAAACCAAGCAGAGAAGCAGAACATAGACAATACTAAGCAATCGGATAACTATTTTAAGCTCTACCCCTTTTGTCTACTTCATCTACTGCAGCAGAGTTGAAAACAGAGAAAAAATATGTTACCAGCAGCAGTAAGCAATTCAGGAGGAGAAAGCTTCCGATGAAGAGGGGGAGCCGATTGCTGCAACGGGTTCCTGAGAAATTCGTTTTTGTGGTATTCTTCAATCTGGAACTGATGCAAAAATCGCACCTTTTGCTCTTCTTCTTTCTTTCCTTGCGTGACTTCTCCTCTTCTGGCGTGTTGACCAAATTCTGGTAAAGATGGCTGCTTTCGCAAGTCCAGCTGCTTTCCTTTTTCTTCTTTTTGCCAGTGTTTGAAAACGGTCTAAACAGTTTTCAGTTTTGGATTAGTACAGATGAGTCCCTATTTAAGCTTCGTTTCTCGTTTTAGTACCTATAGAATTTACTTTTAACATTTCAGTTTACTTAGAGTGAAAGAGTAGATGAATGAGTCATCGAGACTCAATTACTCAAACATAAATTTTTTTGATAATAGAAAACTCTGATATCACGCAAAGAACCTGTTGATCTTAATAACTAGAGGTAAGAGATTTTCAATTGTTGATCATATACCATTTTACTAACAGACTCCTGACTCTGTCAGATAATACAAAGTCCATTTGATAAGGTTTGGACGAGCTTCGAAGAAAAAAAGTATGGTATGTGGGACGAATTCGGAGGAAATACAAATGTGCTTGGTATGTTTTCAGAGGGCCATTGCAGATGATCCTGCACGACAATTACTTGGCCGAAGAACACAATGTGTGTTTTTGATGGTGCTTATTGGAAATAAGAACACGGTAATTTTTTATAGAAATCCGATCTTACTATCCTAGATTATCGGAACAGAATCGATAGAATTAGAGATTGAAATTAGGAGAATAGAACGAGAAGAATTGCATCCTTGCATTACTCATAGGCACATACAAATCACAAACACATAAATTGGAAATTCAAGGGGTGCTCCTCTCTATGTCCTCTTCATGCTACAGTCTAACCAGAGCAGGCTTGTAGTCGATCACAACAACCTTTTCGAGCTGAGGGAGGAACAGGTCTGCAAACTCAACGTGAGCAGGGTGAGCCATGTACTCTGCAACACCTTCCGAGCTCTCGAATTCGGACTCGAATATGTGAGTGAACCCTTCATCCATGTTGCACACTCCCACATCAGTTCCCCTGTTCATCAACAAACATCAGAAAACTTAAAAAAAGTGATCCACCAAGCAATGGAAGAACAATGTATGATGTTTTACCAGTGGAAGGCTTTCATGGGCGGGATGAGGCTGACGAGATTGGCATAGCCTTTGATGAGTTCTTCGATTTCGTGAGATTGGAGGCCTTGTTTGAATTTGGCTATGAGTACATGTTTCACTAATCCTTCTTTGCCTTCCTCCATGGCTCTGTTTTTTCTTCTTCTCCTACTCTGTTTTTTCTTCTGCTCACTCTTCCTATATAGAACCACTTTGTACAAAGGCTATGTGTTGATGGTAGAAACTAGAGAGGATATCTAAGATATGATAAACGTGCACCAAGCTCACCCACCCACCCGCTCATCTACCTCTACCAACATTTTAAACCCATGTACTCTTTTGGTGATGATTGCATCACAAAAAATCGTTTTGTTTTCGTTACGAGAGAAATCCATCAAAGACGGCAAATCGCGGTCCCATTGAACACCTGAAAAATCTACAAAAGTAGTTAAGTCGAGCATATAGCCCTGCCGATTACCATCAAGGATAATTTGGGTCCTAATGTCTAAATTATGAAGTCTATAGACTTCCTTTTTCCCTTCTCTCTTTTACTGTGGTAGTCCATTCACCGAGACTTGTTGTGTGTTTGTCGGATTTGAGAAATGAGGGTTCTCACTAAATCCTATTTGAGCACTTAATATCTAAGGAGTCGTTTGCTTGAGGGTTTTGGTGATGGATTTGGTCATGGAAATATATCCATCATGGACTTGAACCGAAATCCATCGTTTGCCTTAGGGAATTAGGGAGATGGAATTTGTGGGGCCCACCACTTTTGGGGTTCCAAATCCGTGGACCCCACGGACTTGGAAGTTCCACCTCTTGAGGTGGGATTTGGGTGATGGATTAAAATCCATGATGGTAAATTACCTTTCTACCCTTAATTATTTCTTTAATTACAAATTTGTCCTACTTTAATTCAATGGTCATGCAACTGTAAACTTTTATAATTTCGTATTTTATAAATATGAGAATTTATCATTTCATTTTGTAATATCGTATTTTATTTAAATATGAATGTATATGTGATTTGTTAGATTCACCTAGAAACACTTTATGTTTATCTTGTACATTATTATTTGATTGATTGTCGGATTCCATATCGGTGAGTTAGCAAGAAGATGATGAGTTGTAGCAATAAAGCGAGCAATTGGCTGCAATTGATACATAATATTGCGTACATTATTAGATGAATTGTTTTTTTATGAAGGATTATTAGATGAATTTTTAATTAGTGCCAAATTGTAATACATTTCTATATTTGTAGTTGAATTATTAATCCACATAGTGGTAAAGAGTTTAAAATTTCTTTCTATGTTTTGGATTAGTTTTAAATGAAAGATTTGGATTATAATATAGAAATATAATTAAATAAGGGTAACTAGGTAATTTGCATTTAATATCCACAAATCTAATCAAACAAAGTCCATAATCAAATCCATCAAGCAAACAATAGACTTGTTCAAATCCATAATGCCACCAAATCCATCATATATCCATGGTTTTCCAAAACCCAGATTTTACCAAAACCCTCATTTTTCAAATCCATGAAGCAAACGACCGGTAAACTATGAAATGTACTCTATATTAAATTCAATGATCATTTGAGTCCCTAACGTAGTTAGCTCAGCCGAACCAGTGGCATGCATGCTAAATTAGTAAATGGAGTGAGTGACTTTCATGATGCAAGATAACTAGCTCAGCCAAACTTGTGCATATTTATGGTACGGGTGTTAAATGTCAAAGAAAATTATAAAGTGACTAGAAGTACAGATTTGAATTTGCTTAAAAATGCAAGAAAAAGAATGGGGGATGGATGAGAAACAAGCCCAGCCTAATATATAGTTCATCTTCATTGCAGTTCTCCAGAAGTAAAGAGTTTGGCTGGTTACATAAACAAACTTGAGTTTCGACCAGACCAGTGCATAAATATGAGGGCAGGAGCATGCATGGACAAGGAGTTTGTGAAAGCAAGTTACATTGATAACATCAACTAGAAAGTACAGTTACAAAAACCAACATCAACATCTCAAGCCTCAGTTGTAGACCATGTACTTGGGCGTGGCACTGAACTTCTGATATCCTTTGATCACCTTGTTGACGGCATCGAGGAAGTCCTTCTCCGTTACCGTCTTTCTGCGAGCTCTGATAGCATACATCCCGGCTTCAGTACACACGCTCCTGATGTCGGCTCCTGCAAGACAAAATCATGCAGGGTTAGTTATTGAACTCTGAGCTCAAACCAAGTATACAAGAAAGCAGAAAACTCACACATGACATACCAGTTGAATTTGGGCAAAGGCGTGCAAGGAGTTCAAAGCGAATGTCTCTCTCGCAGTTCATTGTCCTTGTATGGATCTTGAAAATCTGAGTCCTGCTCTCCAGATCTGGCAGTCCAAACTCAACCTTACGATCTAGTCTTCCGGGACGTAGAAGTGCCGGGTCCAAAGTATCGGGTCTGCAGATTAACAAAACATCACGGTATGGCCCAGGATAAACGTCAAACCAAAAGGCATGAGCACAATTTTGTACAGCAAGTTTGCATATAGCAAACACAACAATCTCAATCGCATGTAAAGCTATATTTGTGCGACCGAACTAGACAAATCGTGTATGATAAGAATTATGTTCACAAGGCAAGAGATAAAGGGTAAGCAGATATTAACATAGCTTATGTTTTGTGGTGGCATGAAACTGAACTCATATCATACCTGTTTGTTGCCATCAGAACTTTGATATTTCCACGAGCATCAAATCCATCAAGTTGGTTAACAATTTCAAGCATTGTGCGTTGGACTTCATTATCTCCACCCACACCATCATCGAAACGTGCACCACCAATAGCATCAACCTCATCAAAGAATACTATGCAAGCCTTCTTTGACCGAGCCATCTACAACAGACAAACAGCTCATTCAGCAAGAGAATATTCACTACAAGACTTGGAAAGATCGAAATACAGGCATAATGAGAAAGAGTGGTAAGTTCTAACCTGAAAAAGCTCCCGAACCATGCGAGCTCCTTCACCAACATATTTCTGAACAAGTTCACTGCCAATCACACGGATGAAACATGCATCTGTTCTATTGGCCACAGCTCTAGCCAACAAGGTCTTCCCAGTTCCGGGAGGACCATAACATAGAACACCCTTGGGAGGATCAATTCCAAGTTTCACAAATTTCTCAGGGTGAAGCATTGGTAGTTCAACAACCTAAAAAATTGAAACATTAAAAGCATAAGCCTCATACGTCTAAATTTTTTGAGAGGGTAAAACAACATAAAACATCTAGTTATAGTGAACTCACTTCTCTCATCTTTTCTATTTGCTCTTTGCAGCCTCCAACATCGTTGTATGTGACATCTGGTTTTTCTTCCACAGTCATCATTGTGACACTTGGATCAATTTTCGGTGGCAATGGAATCTGGATCTGATACTTAGTACGATCAACCCTGCATGTACACCTCTCCAGTATTAACGACATATAAAATAGAAAAATGAGATCCTATACACTATATACATTCAGCTTCCAACTTACCCCACTCTCATCCCCTCTTCAATATCTGTAGGGGAGACCTTGTCACCCAGCCCAACAACAAACTGGAAGTCATCCAAAGAGATAGGTTAATTTAGTATGGAAACAATGAAATTTTTATGTGACAATAGTTAGCTTTTAGCAGGTTAGGTAAGCCATTAATTCCCAATTGCGCCCATAAGATAAGTCTCACCGCAACAATGATGAGCTTGAAAGACACCATACCTTCGCAATTTGTTTCACGTTTATCACATATTTTGCATCCTCGGTATTGGGGTTTATAATCTTGGTGCATCTAGCAACCTGTAACAAAAAAAAAAAAACAGCAACTTGTAAGTAATTTTGACATGAAAAGACCATCACAATCTGCTTCTAACTAAATACAGAGAAGCAACAGTGATTACTTGAAGAGGTTGCTCCTCCTGCATCATCTGCTTGTCAGAGACTAGATCCCACTGGCTTGGCGTGGCTAAACCAGTGTCCGATTCCTTAATACCTATGAGTACACCACGTCACCAACCAGGTCAATATCACTCTTCAGAAAACCAACATGTTAAATGACACGAGAAGCTAACTTCGAAGGGAGAAAGTACCAAAAAGCAAACATGGCAGAGTAGGTTCACCCATTACTAAAATTATACAAGTAGCCCCACAATTTCATTCACGAGACTGTGAATGTTCGCATTGCAATTTGCAAAAGATAAAAACTTTCCCTCGCATAATCATATCGGCTACGGCAGCAGCAACGGAAGACGAGACAACAAGGTGTCAGCTGCCGCACCAGTTAAGACTTTCAAGATACTAATCCGACTTCTTAACCGGAAAACCCCAATCCCATAGAAGCAAATAGAGCAAAACCATGGTTGAAGAATTAGGTCAGACCGCAGGTAATGCTTACCACACAGATCGTTGATCTTCTTGGCCAAGTCCTTGATCTCCTTCTCCTCCTTCTTGATGCTGTTAGAATACGGCCCTAAACCCTGCAATTTGAAACCCAAATCCAAAAAAAAAAAAAAAAATCAGAACTTGAATGAACAGCTAGGTCAGAAGCAGCAGCGAGATTAATCAGATCCCAAAACGAGCTTGGCGGAATTATAATTACGTATGTCTTGAGAAGGGCGATGTCATCTTCGTCAAGGGGCGGTGGATTCTTCTCGTCTTTGGTAGCATCATACTCTTCTGCTGCGGACGGCGGCGCCATTGAAATCGCAAGAGGACTTCTGAAAGGGCGTGAGGAATAATTGATGAACACGAAAGAGATCGGAGACGGAGATAAACGATTTAGTAGTCGGGGGTCCATTATATATACTGGTCCATGAATCCGTGCTTCCTGCGGGCTAACAAAAGAATTTGGTGCTCGTTAAGCCCATTATGCTTTTGTTTGCTGAAAATTTTGTCAGGCCCACTAATGGATTGTCGAGACGGAAAAACAAACTGAATTTGGCAGGCCCACTAATGAGTTCCTCTTTGCTCCTGTAATTTTAAGTTGATGTGGCCGGTTCTACGGGTGTAGGGATGGCAATGGGTCGGGTTGGGTCGGGTTTTGTCAAACCCAAACCCAAACCCATGGGTTTATTCGTGAAAAAAATCTGGGATAAAACCCACTGGATTTGAAAAACTCAAACCCAACCCAACCCGCTGGGTATCCGCGGGTTCATGGGTACCCACGGGTTTTTGTCGTAAAAAATAAACAATAACAAGTTCCTATCAAAATTAAAGTCAAATATCAATCTCTCAATAAAATTATCCATATATAAAACACCATTCTATAAAATTCAAGCAAATCACAAATTAACTATACAAATTGTTCAACACCAATCTAGAAAACTCAAGAAAATTGAAGCCAATCACAAATTATCCATAAATACATGATTAATTGAAAGCTTCTTCCTTTCAATTAAGTTAACGCACTCTCCACTCGATCATATCAACTTCATTCTACACAATTAGAAAGAAAAAATTAGACATGTCTCCACAAACATAAATAAGATTAGTTGTTTAGAATATTAAATATACCGAGAAAATTAATTATATGAGTGTGGGCGGGTACCCATGGGTCGGGTTTACCTAAACCCAAACCCAACCCGGTGAATAGTGAACGGGTTTAAACCCAAACCCGGCCCAAAACCCATCAACACGGATTTTACCCGCGTTGACCGGGTTGGGTCGGGTGGGTACCCGTGGATTCGGGTTTTGTTGTCATCCCTATACGGGTGTGCAGTCGTTAGGTTCGTACGGACAGAACGGATCGGATCAAACTGATACTTTGATCTTATTTATGAAATCGAATATAATGTGGTCCAGTCATTGGTTCTTATGTATTTTATAAATATCGAAGAAAAATGGTAAATTCACTTTTAAACCGGACCAATTATAATATTCAGGGGCGGAGATAGCATATAAATAGGGTGTTCCATGGCACACCCTTGGATTGGGACTAGAACATAAAAAAATAGGGGTATTAGTTTATGCTATAATTAGGATTTGAACATGGACCCCCTTATTATTAGCTTTGGCATCTTACATTGAACTACAATTACATATGTGATACACCAATACGTTTTATTGTATATATATAATTAATTTATGTTTACAAATAATAAGTAAATTAAAAAAACTCATAATTGTATCCTTATCCAAGCAGTAATTGGAACGTTAGCCCTAACAAGCAAGACTTCTCCCACTCCCACTCCCACCTTTCATCTTCCTACGTTCTTCTTTCCCTTTTGGCAATGAACTACGTGAAAAACACTCTTCGGAGTGGAATGAGTTATGATATCATGAATGATTTTTTGGTAGGATACATTGAGAGTGACATTCTTGATAGTCTGGATGATGAATGTATTTTACAGAGTTTTCAAACTATGAGAATTAGTCATGGGTCATTCTTAAAAATTGATAGTCACTTTAATTTTTTTAAGTTGCCACCCCCTTACCCAAAATCCTGGCTACGCCATTGATAATATTGGTATGATTATTGGTTCTAAGATGCGTTTTATTATTGGATTGCTTTTTTCATTAATTTGATCGAGACCGATTCAAACTGATGCACACCACAAACTATTTCACTTGGTTTTGCCCCATTAATTCCTGCTTCAGTATGAGTTTTTGTACTTTATTCTTGTACAAAAAATCGTATAACACAGGGTTTATTGACCAAATCTCCTGTCATGCTCGCCCTCAGAATTCGATCTTTGAAGTAATAAAAGCGGAAAGAGAGGTTGGAATCGAACCTCCAATTTTAGAGAAAAAAAAAACGTGAGTGATCAACAACCAAACATTTTCACACCTAAAAATGGCAAACCAGCCCCCAATTTCGTCGTTGCACGACAATTCTTCTACGAACAAAAACTTCCATCAATTCCCTCTATAAAAAACAACGAAGGAACAAAGAAAAGAACATCCATCAAAGCAACAATAACTCTTCCATCTCACTCACCCAAAATCAAAAGAAGAAAGAAAAAAAAACCCAAAACAATAAACTAAAAACGAAATAAGGAAAAATGGCAGCTGGAACGTGGAGCAGCAGAGTGTGGCTCAGCGCGGCGGTGGTGGCGCTGCTGGTGGTGGCGGCGGCGGCGGCGTCGGCGCACGTCGAGGATTTCGACGACAGCAAACTCGACGTGGTTTCGAGGTTGGACGGCGATTTCGGATCGGCTACGCTGGATGACGTCATCCCTTCCGAAGTCCTCACCCGGCGTAGCGGCGGCGGGTTCTCCTCCTCCCCGACCTCCGCTCCGGCCTCCGCCCCCACCGTCGCCGGGGACGTGAGCGGCGACGCAGCCTCCCCTTCTACTTCCTGAATAATAAGTTAAATGAATTTTAAATTCGGCCCGTTTGTACACGCACCGGCGTGGTCTTCGGAAGGAAAGGGATGTGATTGATCCTACGTATCTGTAATACTTAAAATATTATTATTACACGTATTAATAAAATGAAATGTATTGGATAGTGATGTACTTCATTTTAGTGGATTATTATTATGGTTCGGTTAATGTGTTCGGATGATGTTATTTACTTTTTTTTATGATAATTTTTATACCGATAATCAGTGAGAAGAATCACGGTCCAATAGTAAAAGTTATCTTATGACCAAGAACCCAAACGATCGTACCAATAGTGCATTCAGTCCGCTTAGGTCCTCTCTAAAATATCAATTCGATCCATTTTTCTTCGGCAGCGTATATAAAATTTATAAAACTAAATATCGTAATATTACATTCGGTTCGATACAACCCAGTCAATCACTCTCTATTTGATCTGATACAACCCCTTCTCCCTTTTACCGTTTCCGATCAGGAGTCGGAATTTCATATATCCCACTGCTGCGGTTATTTCCACCCTATAATTTTACCCGATTATGTTTCCGAGTCGTAACAGAGAAATCACTTCTCTTTCTTTCCCTCATATATATATATATATATGTGCTCAGCTGCCGAGAAAGAACCGTGCTTTCCTAGCTATACGTACACACACACATAATGGCGGACCATGACCAGCTGAGCAAAGATTGGTCCGAACTGGGAGAGGATCTTCTCTGCACGATCGCCAGGCGCTCGATCACTCTCGGCGACGTCGTTCGGTCTCGAGCCGTCTGCAATCCGTGGCGGCGAGCCCTCGAGCCCGAGCACCACCGCCGCAGGCTCCCTCCCTCCACCACGCACTGGCTCATGCTGCCCTACTGCAACAGCATGAACTTCACCACCACCACCGCCGCCGCCACGGGTTGCAAACGCTCCCCGAGCTGCCGCTGCTTCTACGACGTCGTCCTGCAACAATTCCACCACATCGAGTTCCCAGCTCCCCACCTCCGCCACTCAGCCACCTGCTGCGGATCCGCAATGGGCTGGCTGTGCATGGTGGCCGGAGGACGGAACAGCATCTCCCTTCTGAACCCTCTCACCAAGACCGAGATCACTCTCCCGCCCATCACGTCGTTCCCCGACGTGCTGGCCTACAGGTATACGTAAATACTCCGTTTAATATTCACGCGTAGTTTATCCGTTCAAGACTTTGGTATCCCGCGCAATACAGTCGAAATCACGCTTTAGAACTTAAAAAAACTTACGATTTTACGTTTCTAGGTCACTAAAAACGCTTCTACACAAAATCTCGGTTTTTATAGCTTATGTAGTTAAAAGCTCCGCGTTTAGAACTTAAAAACTACTTACGATTTTACGCTTCTAGATCACCAAAACGTTTCTACGCGTAGAAACTCGCTTTTGACTACATTGGGTATCCGTATTATTGTCAGTTTTTATAACTTATGTAGTTAAAAAACTCCGCTTTAGAACTTAAAAACTTACGATTTTACATTTCTAGATCACTAAAAACGCTTCTACACAAAATCTCGGTTTTTATAGCTTATGTAGTTAAAAACTCCGCTTTCGAACTTAAAAAACTTACGATTTTACGCTTCTACATTGAGTATCCGTATTATTGTCAAAGACATTTCATTTTTTCCCCCGTTGTTTTGATGTTCCCGTACTAAACCTGTATAACGCGTTTATTATCCATATATTAATCGTTAACTTTTACTATTATTTATACATTTTATGACTTATACGTGACTTTTCCTTACCGTATTTTTACTAACTATACCTGCAGCCCCGAAAAGGTCGGGCTCGAGTACCTGCTCGAAGAGCCGAACAGCGAACGCGGCCGCACGGTTTCGTGCGGCAAGAGGCGCGTCGAGAAGAGGTACTTGCTGAGGGTGGCCATGTCGTCGCCGCCGCCGCCGCCGGAGCCGGCTTCGGCGGAGGAATGTGTTGTGATGGCAATCCGTTGCAACACCAACTACCGCCTCGCGTTCTGCAGGCCTAGCCGAGACTACGACGTTGAGAAGAAGGGGTGGATGTTCGTTCCCGCCGACAAGGATATTGCTTACGTGGATGTGGTGTTCTGGAGGGATCGGTTCTACGTCCTGGACTTTAACGGCAGCGCCCTGGTGTGTGATTTTCCTGCCGACGACCCGTGGCGGCCAACCCTGTCGTACGTCCTCGACTTGCCCGTCAACCGTCGGGTTTACGCCGAGGCTCTCTACTTGATTGTGAGTCCGGCGGCTGTTACCGGAGGCGATGAGGAGGAGTTGGTGATGGTGCTTAGACATGCAAAAAAAAATCTCGATGATGAGGAAACTGACGAGGATGAGTACGATTATGACGACGATGATGATGATGAGGAGGAGGAGGATGAGGAAGAGGATGATGCTCCTGTTGGTTATGACGAGGATTGTCGTCATATAGATATTCCTGATAGTGATTCGGAGTCGGAGGATGAAC